CAACAGCAGTAGGCAGCTGTAGTGACTGCTGATGCGTCTGAGTACTCCCTAAGGCCTGGCTCTGCATCTGAGCTTGCGAGTCTTCAAGGCGACCAAGTCGCTCGCTGATGTTCACAAGCTTGGGCTAACATGTTGTTAAGAATGGATGATAGTAGCGTGTCGTTACCAGCGCCAGCATTGCTAAGCTGCACGTGGTTGCCCGTCTTCCAGTGAGCTCTCAGGTACCCCCCCCCCCCACTCACAGCATGTTCGTATCGTGATGCAGGAGCCAAGACGAGCGTTGGAAGAGGCGATACCGCGATGCAGCTCGTACATGTAGCGCGACGGGGCCAAGGTGCTGGTGGTGCTTTCGATGTCGATGCGAACCTCATCCATGTGCATTAGCAGCGATGCAAACGTGCAATCAACGACGTCCAATACGAGATTAAATCGAGCGTCCTGGAAACCAAGTACATGGCGGTACAGCTCGTCTCGAAGGGTCACAAGCTGACCAAACTCCAGTACCGTCAAACGCTGCTGCAGGTCACGAATTGTCGGCGTTACCACAGGTAGGTCTGGAGCTTGGTACCCCGCTAGCACTTTGGCTACGCTCTGATCCTCCTTTGTGGTCGTTCCAATGTAGGCAAACGCCTTGGTTAGTGACTCCAACAGCCAAGCCCCGCGAGTAGAAATCCACTGAATGGACAGCTTCGGCGGCGCATTGGCGTACGCAGCGGCTCCACGGCGAATGGAGTGGCTGGTCATATTCGGCGTCACCGTTTGGCTGAGAGCAGGAGGCATCGCCTTCAACGAATCTCTAATGACCTCGATAATATAACTTGCGATATTTGGTCTCTTCCTCTCTTGCTTTTGGAGCGGCTCTGACGTGCTGTTATCGTCTTCTAATAGTTGAGCACAGTACAAAACAGCTTCCTCTTGTGAATACGGTTTATTACCAGGAAGGTCGGACTCTGCGAAATTAGGTGCCAGCGGAAACAAATACTCGGAGGGTTCGTCGTAGCAGATAAAAAGCATCCCCCATCCCCGATGTGTGGAGACATATACTGCTGGCCATCTCTCAACGCGAACTTATAATATTAGAAGCCTCTGAAACACATAAGTTTTGGATCCTCGGCACAGTGTTAGAAAAAGCTCTCCAGAAGCTGAATCTGCAGAGCTGTTGTTTACGTGCAAAGCAGGTATCGACCGCTCTCCCAAATGTATGCCACATCATAGTCAATAGAGCCGCATCATGTACAGACTTCAAACCGGTAGCCACGTCAGCTTTCGCAATTAGATACCCAACGACTACACTTAGATCATCCACGTTACACCCAGGAGCGTCTTTGGTTTGCACATTTGCGCGCAAACTCCTCTCTTCTACGTAACTAGCCATTTTGTCCCGAATCTTGGCAATTCTCTTAGAGTCACCAAGAGAGTTGGTGTAGCGCTCGCGAAGCATGCTCACAACTTGTGAAAAATACCCTAGCGCTGTCGATTTTTATAGTAGTCCATCCGCTCTCGCCTTGTTGCTTTTCTTCGTCTGTATGTAAATCAAAAAAGCTGTTAGCAATGAGTACAAGCTCTGGGTCGGGAGACTAGCTACTTCTCTATGAGCTTTATGTATGTCATCTAAATCGACTTTCCATAATCCTATTGAAGTCAGGAACTCCTCAAACATCTTCTCCGCCGCAATCTCTTGCCCTAATGTACCAGCAGGGGTGTCCAGACCTCGCGAAGCTCTTCTCATTGCCTCTCGCAGTGTGAATCCCGCGCGTAATACAAACTGGTCGGTTGCATGGCACCTCATCGTGAATTTTTAGTCTATATTTACTCTTCAACCGCATGGAATTTTTCTCTGGTATAGACGCCTTTTACGCGATAATACATGATTTAACTTGATTTTACTAAGGCGTCTTACCTCGAAATTTTGAGAAAGCGGGACAATTCTGGAAATAAGCTGGTTTTATCTACCCCTACCCCTTAATAGCGGTTATTGGGTGGTTTGAGCAAATAAAAGTACATATTGTCCAGCGATTGGCTGTGGATTTTTTTGCTTACAGTAGGGTTAGGGTCTCCGTCAGGAATATACTTATCCTACAATAATACTGTAATAGACGCGGCTACTTTTCAAATCAAAGTTTTTTTCTTGTTTTAAACCATTTTTAATTTTGATAAAAAGCACAAATATAAACTCCTGGAATTTCGCAATTAAAATAAGCTTCATAGCGGTTCAATGAAAGCTTTTATGATACACAAACTCGAAAGGAACTGGATAACATTTCCGCGAGCCTTCCATTTCACTCACAAAAGAATTCTACTTTTCCAGATGGGGGCAAGTTCTTGTAGCCTACAAGGGTCCTTAAAGTTGTAGGAGTCCTACTAGGACCCATTCATCTAGCCAACATCTGGCAAAGGCCGAATGTGTAATCCGGATCGATACAGTACTGTACCTGTACAGTAGTCTTTTTTGTAAGGATTCATTGCAATGCATCGGTACTTAAGCTGTTACATGTATTAAATAAAGGCTGCCAGCCGCTAGATTTGAGATGCGGTCGCAAGAGTTTCATGTCATTGCACGCTTGCGTTGTTTACAGGAACTAGAACAATTGAGTGTCGTTGATAAGGTGTGTACATTGCCACCATTTGACGTAGGGTTGTAGTTCACCAGCACTTGACTGACTCACTTTCGATTTAGCTTGCAAGCCTGTTCTGCTCGACCAATGCCGCTCAATTCGCTACAATTCATCGCCCTGGGTTTCGCATTCGTGTTGACGCGTAACGCCATCATCCAAGCCTCAAGCGTCACTGGCACACCTCCCGGTTTCGCAATTGGGACAACGGGCGGCGGCAACGCGACGGCTGTCTATCCTACCACTGCCTCTGAGCTCGCTTCGTATCTTGGCGACAATGAACCTCGCGTCGTCGTTCTGAGCCACGAGTTCGACTTCACCAACACCGAGGGTTCGACTCAGAGGTCGGAAATAATAATTGCGATTCAATAAATTATTGGTTTTGCAATATAAATATGTATTATTGGTAGTTGAGCTTATCAATACAATATGGTATTGGACCAATTATTGACAATAAATATGGCAAAAGGCTCCCTGGTAGGAACCGTTTAATTGTTTCGATATGGCATCACCAATCAGATCTTATGACATCATTTTCGTTGTTCATCACACTATCTCCACACCAACCTGAAACCGGTGGCTACGAGAGTGTCTTGGTAAGCTACGATACGCGAGCCACAACTCAAACTTCACTTTATTTTTGAACTACGATGGTCCTAAACAAGCAAATCGCCGCCTACTTCTTCACAATACTAGGTCAAGGGCTGTTTCGCTGCAATATTTGCGGCAACGAGCGGAAACAAACTGGAGGGACAGGGTACTCTAGTCTCAACTAATAGCACAAATTATTAGTTGCTACATCATTCCGATGAATTACTTAGAAACAAATATTCTAACAAGATGCTCAGTCAAGAAAACTATTCTTGACTCGCTATCTTGTCGAGAAAAATCACCACATATCATTAAGTGTTGTGTCGTCCTCTAGATAAGAATTGTAGGTTCAGCCGCTGCCTGGTATAGTGCACTTGTGAAGCAGCAGCTACATTTCCAGACTTCCCGGTTACGTAAAAGCAAACGAAACAAGCAACTCCTCGCACTTGCTAGCATCAAACGACAGTAAAAGATGAAACATGGAGGCTCTTCAGAATAACACGGACTCAGAAGATGAAACTTCAAAATTCGATGATGGCCCCGCCTTATATGTTGCTGATAGTATATACGCTAAGAAAACTAGTCAAGACGGGCAAGACTACTTTTTAGTTTCTTGGGTGGGGTTTCAAGAACTAACCTGGCAGCCGTCGTCAGACCTACCACAGAACATGATAGCGACTTTTAATGATGAGAAGCTTGGCGTGGCTTGGCCAGTCGACTATCGGGCCAGCATACTCACGGGGATCATGGCTGGTGCAAGAGTACACGGAAGGGCAAGACATAGCTAGATATTGCTCCAATATATTTAAATTGCGGCAATTTTAATTATTGGGAGTGCTCATATTGGAATTTTTATTGCGGCAAAACTTTGCCATCAATACAATACAGTAATGTATTTTCCGACCTCTGATGGTCAGCAATTCTTCGACAAGAACACCTCCTATGACGAAATTGAGTGCCCGTTTGCTATCAATGTCAACGGAGTTGACGGAAGCTGGAAGGTGACTCGCATTAATTGCTCACAACCACGTCATGCGTGTGGGATTCACAGAACAACCTGTAGTAAATGATATTCTTATATTACCACTTCCAAATAGGTAATAGTACTTCTATCATGCTACACTCAATATCACGTAAGCGAAGATCTACTACCTGCGTCCGGTCTAACTGAGCCAAACCCTTGGCAGTGGACAAGTTGTCTCCAAAACAAATCCACTTGGGCTCTTTCATGGCCTCGTCGTCCAAAGCGTCATCACTAGA